CCGAGGACCACCACCCTGGTTGCAGGCACATGCCACGAAACAAGCAAAAATATCCCAAAATCATGCAGTACCATAGTCAGGGAAACCCTACACTTGAAAGGATACCTCGTCAGCTTAAAACAAAGGCCAAAAAGAACACGGTTCAATAATAGTCAGCCGCGCAGCACATTCCCCACCGAAAGCAAGCTCGTGTACAAAGAATTCCATGAGAACAATGCAAAAATCCACTTTCTAAACTTACCGTTCGGAAGAAATTTGTATATGTATTTTGTTTTTATTTCTTCTTCTAATCTTTCTCTCTCTTTTTGGTTTATTTCATCATTATGACTGTTCATTTAATCTAATATTATTATTTAATTTTTTAAATTAATTAAGAAATCTTATTTACATACTAATTGTAATAATGTCTATCAACACAGCGCAACTGACCTCTTTAAAATAAAAATATTAATGAGATCTTTTTTATTATAATCTTTACAAATTTATCATTTTATCATATCATATTTTTCATGAATTTTATGATAAAATAATTTTTACTTGTCACTTTCAACTCATGTAATACTAATTTATGGTTTTTATTTTTGTTGTACTCTAAAAAGTATTTTTTCTTCAAAAACATTAATGTATAATATTAATATAAATTATATAATTAAAGATTGGGGCACGGGATTCTGACGAGTTTATTCCAATGGGTGATGATGACGACGATGCAATAACTGTTCAAGAAAACATGCAAATTTGCAGATTAGCAGATTACTGTTCCTTGGTGGACAAGACTCCATTTTCCCACCCTAAGAAACCAGACATTGAGATCCAAAGAAACAAAGGGCTTCGACTTTAAGTTGAGTTGCAACAGCTGTTTGTACGTGGTGTTCTGTGTTTCAAGGATTGAACAGTTTCATGGCATTAATTCCATAATCCTAAATTCTTATATATTCTCATTCCTATTTACCTTCAACAAAAGCGGTTGCTTTTGGCCTCTCATCCCAATGTTGACCTCTATGCCGGAAGACAAACGCCCTATGCTTTCTTTCCCACCATTTTAAGATTATTGGCCGACATTTTAGTGCACGTGTCAAGCTGTTAGGATGAAGACAGAGGGCTTCTCTCCTACATTTGTCCATGAAGGAGAATCTTGAAAAGCTGTTTCAACAAACAAGAGTTCGACATTTTAGTTTCCATCCTCAAGTTCTAAACTGTCGGAAAGCCGATTATTTCTTTGAAATTTCACATGCACTTTAATTCTCCATTGCGGCGCAGCAAATGAAGGGAAACGTACAGCAGCTTCTTAGCAATCACTTGATTATAACTTGAAACAAAGCATATGACATAGCAATTATTCCTTCATTAAGGTTTAACTCTAAGTAGGCATGTGCGAGGTTGAATTAGTTTCTTAATTCATTGTACGTAGATAACTTATGTTTCATCACAGTATGGCTAGCTACTCATTCGTCTGCTGTTTTCCATAAGTAAACCAAAAACGTTTTTCCTTTTTTTTTTTAAGAAAAAAAATTGAAAACGCATTTTTATAAATAAAGTTAGTCTTATCATGATTTAAATTCATGTGCACCTGAAGTCCTTGCATTGAGTAAATAATTAATTCAAGACCTAGAGAAATGAATGCAAATTCTCTGTACTTATTTTGTGTCTTGTTTAGTGTTTCTCTTATAATTTGATGCCACTTATTTTATAAATTATTATTTATCAACATTAGTTTTGGTGCCTTATTTAACATGATGCTCGTCCTTGCTCTTCCTATCAGCGTCCATATAATCTGAGGTATAAGCCTTTTGGGTACTCTTTGTCTTCCAATCACGCTCACCAAAGTCCGAATCTTCAAATAAACTAGAACACTTAATTGCCTTTCCTATGATGTCTAAGAGCATGCTTTGATCTGTTTTTTTTTTTCTTTCTGAAAATTATGGAATTTTTTTCCGCTTAGTCAAAAGGAGAATATGTTAATGAAAAAAGATGAAACATGTTTAATGACTGTCCATGGATACTGGAGTGTGTTTTGTAATACAAACAATGAAAACAGGAAAAAACTAAACAATGGAACAAAAGTATAGAATTTGGGGCCTAACGAGAAGCATCAAAGAGCATGCCATAGAAGCAATTGGATTGCCCGAGCTTACAAGATAAGCAAGGGTTTTGAAGAAAAAAGGAAAAGAACAAAGTAGGACAACCAAAGGCACAACAAATAACTTAGAGCATCAAAACAAGGAAATCAAGACCAAGACACAAGAGAACGACAAAGAAGCATAAACCAAGCATCAACCATAAATGCCAGGAAGAAACATAATTACGCATCCGTACCAAAAACATTGAAACGTAGCAAGATTTGCAATATCATGAAATGAAGAGGAATGGCAAAAGGATCAGAACAGAAATAAGGGGTCGTAAGAGAACAAAAGCTTACAACAAGGCCACAAAATCAGAAATAAACCAACACCGAATGCTTTCAACATCTTCAATAGAGCAATCCAAAACAACACATAATAAAACTCCAACGCCATCCTCAATGGACAACAACATGAAATCAAAGGGAGAGAGAAGTTATTACCACAAGGCAAAAAACATGGAGATTTTGTTGGCCCCATACTTAGACAAAGAATTTGTAAAGGAGTTACCTTCTCTAAACACATAAGCAAATGAGATTCCACTAATTGAGAGTTTGAGGGCATCAATCTCATCTAGGATGAGCCATAATTTCCATGTCTTTGATTAACATTGTTTGCCAATGAGAGTGCAATCTTGGAGTTGGATTCGATGGTCACTTTAGATCTTGTGTAGGAGGAAGATGATAGGAGGTGAAGTGCACAAAGTATTATCATAGTTTCTGCATAATTAGAGTTTTGACATCCAAGAGGACCAACAAATATACCAAGGATAATACTTTTGGAGTTTCTTAGTACCCCACCACAACTAGAAGGCACTAGCTTGCTTTTAGCAAAGCTATCAACATTGAATTTAAATTACCCTGACAAAAAGGGCTACCATGAGATACCAAGACGAGACAGAAGAAGACTATGATCACATACTTTATGGAACAAGGTTCTATCCACCAACCTATAACAACAATAGAATTTTCACCTTTGCTTTCTCCTATCCATAACAAAGACCTCATTTTAAGGAGGAAAAGAACTTCACTTGGTTCCCATGATTTTTTTGAAAAAACATCTCATTACATGTAAACCAAAGTGACCAAAAAGTAGAACCACATACCATTATCCAACTTTTACGTACGTCACCAAAAGATGGGCAATCAGCTCATTCTTTAATTAAAAAGGAAATTGAACAAGGTAAAAACCATAAAATATCCCACCACTGAAGAATAAGGCCTCAAACTCTCCAACTAAAGTTACATACCAACAAAATATGGGAACATGATTCCTCCACCAAGCCACACCAAGAGCATGCCATCTGATTAGCCAAGAAATGAACTCCATGGGAGGCAAGAAAACTCTTTGAAGGAATGGAATCGAGAATTGCCAATAAGAAACATTGAAACTTGGGAAGAATGGATAATCTACAAAAAGAGTGGAACCATACCTTTTGCTCATTTGGATAAGAATCAAGTAATGAGCAAAATTTTCTAACTGAGAAAATACCTTTGGGATCATGCTTACATATGAGTTTATCCTCCATTCCTTCAACAAGAACGACATTAGACAACTTACTGAGGATCTCACTATAGAATTCAGCCTCCTAGGAATAGAGATTACACCTGAAAAAAGGTATCCAATTACCATTATTCCATACATCAAGGACACACAATTCCTTGTTTGTGGCAAGTGAGAAAATACGAGGATATTTTTGAAAGAGCTACTCGTTGTCAAGAATCCATTTGTCAAGCTAGAAAATTATGGAATTTATTGAGTAACTGGCAGGAGAATCACAATACTTTGGCTAAAGAGTGATCAACCAAAGCATCAGTTATGTTTAACCTAGTATGAAAAATATATTGCATAAACTTAAGTTGTATCCTGTATCAACAATCAATCCTTAAACTTAAATATACAACACAAATTTCTGACGCAAATAGAACCTTTTAGCTTCAACAAGGCACACAAACATAACGTAATAAAAAATAACAACTTTAAACAAAGTCAAACATGTTTTCGATTCTTGTGCAATCTTGTGGATTTCCTTCAATCAACCAGGAAAGGAGAAATCCTACCTTCAAGTTCTCATAAGAACTTAGCAAACAGAAGCAAAAACTTTTCCCTCATTACCTCCATTGAATTCAAAAAAATTATGTAATGGGTATTAGGTTTTACATTGGCTGAAACATTGCATTGTGGGTACCAACAAATTCTTTCAGGAACCAAAAATCATCTCAATGAATATGAGGGAAAAAGGTAATACAAGATTCACTATTAGAAGAATTTCTGGATACCAATTCTTAGTTTCTTTTTTGAACAAAAGCTCTTTTGAAAAGGATAAGAAGAATAAATGGGAGGGTTTCTTTTAATGGTTCTTTGAGACAGCCATATGGACACCAAGTATGTGTGCTAAGGGAAGACACTGCTGGTTGTCTCTATCAGGCATTCCAATCCATGCTTAGAACTCCACCACTTTCTGAAACATTAGCAACCTATGGAGGACACTCATATGCATTGGCCAGGAATAACAGAGTATGCAAACTTTTGGTCAAGCATCCATTCTCATTTCAACAAATAAAACAATGAGAGTTGATGAAACCATGAATATGGAGGTTGTTAATCAAATTTTCCAAGTAAGTGTTCAAGGATTTTTCCCTGATTGTATAATGGATTTTCTTGGATGGTCGAATTGGCTAGAAGACTCTACTTATAGTAGCTTTTCCTCAATGTATTTTGCTAACGGTGCCATTGGGTTGATCAGCGATGAGAATGGGCATCATGGCATGGGTGACAATGTCTAACCTCAGACCAACCCTAACATGGAACCCCGACCTTAATTAATGCTTAAATTTCATGCAGCCCGCTGAAGCAAAAAAGGATTAACATCACTAGTCACCATGTAATGAGTTTGGGCTATCAAGAATTGAAGTTGGGCCCTCAAACCATGCCTTAAACTGCATTACTCATTATAACCACCTAAACCCGAATGATGATCACTTTGATGAACCCAACAACCCAACATATACTGAACCATTTGCAAATTAGAGTTTTTCGTATACAGATCCAATATCTGTCTCCTTTTGTCCATCACTTTCTAACTGCATCCTATACCCTAACTTAATCAAAATCTACCCCTTGAAGTCACCCTACCAATAGATACCCAACCTAAGCTACCTGACTTAAACACAGATTATGAAACTCCCTTGATAAGAAAACATGCCAAGAGAATTGCATTCATTGAAAAACTTATTAACCTTGGAAAAGGAGGTAGGAAGGGTACAAAAAAGATTATGAAGCAAGTGAAGAAAGGAATACGCAACGTTACACAAAAAACCCATCACCAAAATTAAAATCAAAGTTGCACGATTGATATGATCTAAAGAGGAACCGAGGTTATGTGGGAGCTTGGCAAAGAAATTGGATTCTCTTCTCAATGCTATAACAATATTCTTGCTAAAAATTTAAATGGCATAAAAAAAGCTACGTCCAAAAGTAAGAAGCTTTTGTAATGACCCAAGAACTCTTTTTGTTTATACTGGTTCTTCTCATTTTTTGTGTAGTTATTTTGTCTAATTGTAAATAACCATAGATGCATCTTTTCACTAGTCATGATGCTAGTCTTTGCTCACTTTTAGTTGGATTTTGGTCTTTAGTATCTGGACAAAGATGGTATTTTACTTAGGATCGCTCAGCCAATTGCGGCTTTTATTTTTCATGGAAATGGAACTCTACTCTGTTTATGTTATGGACTCCACTAGCTGACAAGGACTTTATCACCTCTTACATGAATGATTTTTGGATGCATTCTTATTGGTTCTAGTGTCTATATTGTGACACTGTTACTGTTATTATTGTTATTTTGTCTTCACTACTTGCAGATTTATTTTCTTAGTAAGATACAATTTTTGACTTGGAAGGTTTGCAAACTTGGTAGATTTTTGAAATCCCGTACAATACACAAAATTATTCAAGTGTAGAAAGTGGAAATGGTTTGCTTCAGGAAACAAAACTAGTGAACGTTACAAATTGGCTTAACAATTGTTTATGGAATTCTGATAATTTGGAGTGGGTTGATAGCCAAGCGAATGGTAGTTCAGGTGGCATATTATCAATATTGGATAAGCACTTTATAACCTTGAATGGAACTTGGATTCTTACAAATTTTCATTATGTTATTATTAATATCTATGCACCTTATGATGTTAGTGACATCATGCAATTTGGGAAAAGCTGCTTTGTCTTTAAGATTGACTTCCCTGCAAATTGGTGTTCTGCAGGTGACTTCAATACAATTCACAGTGTCAATGAATGGGGTGGATGTATTACTTTGAGAATTGGTATCACAGATTTCAATGAGTTTATTGATCAGTGTGAGTTGATTGATTTACCATTAGAGGGAACAAATTCACCTGATTTGGCCTTGGTGCGAAATGTAGTCATTGGGACTAGTTTTTACTTTGCTTTGAGTGGCTTCTACAATTCCACAACCTTAGTCAGAAGGGTCTCAAAAGATCTTTATCCGACCACTGTCTAATATTGATCTCATCAGAGTATGTTGATTGGGGCCCTAGCCGTTTTACTTCCTTGACTGTTGGCTTTCAAGCAATGGTTGTGTATGGTGTGGGTGAGCTCATGACACGATGACAGTGTGTGGTAGGGGAGTGCACATGACGATAATAGCTATGTGCGATGCGAGAATGCACATGACTTGTGTTGAGGTCAACAACTACATATGCTGGACCATGTTGAATATTTTGAGAATGAGATAAAATATTTGTGACACATGTATGAGAATATATATATATATATATATATATATATATACACCTATAATTACTTATACACGTCTATGTACATCATAAAGTAAGGATGTGGGAGAAATGTACTGTGATTCCATTAAATGTTGAAGGTTAGAACTCCCAAATGTTTTCAAAATGGTTTAAAGGATAGCATAGCAGCAGGCTTAGTTTTTGAAATATAAAATTGCATTGTTCCTAACATAAGTGCATCGTGTTAAATTAAACCTTCTGTATCGTTTGCTTGTTCCCTTTTTATGTTCACGTACTGGGTTTATACTTTTTCTTTTCAACTTCATGTTTTGGTTTTTAGATTCAGAGGTAGTTAGATCCTAGATTGAGGTGCCTCCTAATACTCATCTTTCATTAGGTTTACCATGGCACTCAATAATAGTACCCACACACAGAGTCACTCTGCTAGTAGTCAAGGGTCTTTTGCATGCGTATATGCATGTTTTAACATAAATAATGAGATTTGTTTGTAAACACTATATGTCTAGTTTGATTAATAATGTCGTTGTAGATTGGCAAGTGATAACACTATTTTGAGGATGGTATATGCTTGGCTGTCATGATTTATTTTTGAAGAAATTATTATTAGAAATTAAGAATTATGAATCTTAAAGAATAAGGTGTGATAAATGGACTAATGAACAAGTTTTCATAAAAAAGCTTGCCTATTGGGCCCATGCGCCAATCATGGCCCAAGATTGGGCTGTGACAGATAATATATACGTAGAAAAGGAATGCATATTTAGGTTTAAAATATAGTTAGGAAGAAATATAAAATGTGGGAAAAAGGTGGAATGTTAAACATAATCATAAAGTACATAGTTATGTAAGTGTATATAAACATAAAATGGGGAAGAAAATGAATTAGGAAGAATTAAAATGTAGTGAAACAAAATATGAAGGTATTAAATTGGTAAAAAAAAGATAGCCTTATATAAACTAGAGATAGGTACAAATGGGGAGAGAGAATGAAAGTAGGATAAGATAAAGTATTATTAATATAAATAGGATAATTATTTAACATAATACCGATGATGGGATGTTCATTCGGAATGCGAGGAGTCACAATTCCGAATGAAATTTTCCTAGGCCCAAGATTTAAATTAAGGCTCCACCAATACGATGGAAAGGTCTTAATTTTGAAATTATGATATTTTTAATTTTAAATAAATAAAAATTATATATAAGAAATTAGTTAAAATATAAATATAATAAAATGTAAAAGAAGAAATGACGTATATTCACTTAAGGTGTTAAAAGATAAATATAAAATTATGAAAAATAATAATACTCATGACAATAAATAAATAAAAGGTAATAAAATATTCAATGATGGTAAATACATAATAATGAATACATTTAAAATATAAAAGGTAAATATTTAGTTATAAAAATATATATATAATAAATTTATAATGGTTATAAAAAAAGTGAATAGGAAAGATAACAAAAAACGAGAAAGTTGAATTAAAAGATATAAACATAAATAATAATAATTATGAAATAAGATATCTTGCTTAAAGACTATAGAGTTTAGATAAAAAGAAAATCTATATAGTAAAATAGATAGACACCTAAACAACATAGAAAAATATATAATTCATAATATACATGCTTATAAAGAGGACAATAAAAAAGGAAAATCTTAAAGAAATAACAAAGAAGATATAGGAAGATTTAGAAACAAAAAATTAAATTTCATAAGCACATCATAAATCACTATTGCAACGTAAATGTCAAGGCATGTAGATATTTATGTACAGAAGTATAAGTTCCAATGATAGGAGTTTCTGAAGGATCTTGCGAAGATGTGTTTTCTTAGAAAAATTCCCTAAGTGAAAAAATATCTTCAAGTCCCACCAGTACGATGGGAGAACTAGAAGAATACCTTAATAAAAAAGCTTCTGCTCGTAATAAGTTTGCATTCATGAAAATATTTTTTTCATTAAAACATGTATGCTTACCTCGAAGATGGGATTTATTTGTCAAATTTATGAAGGCAAGTTTCTTAGATAATTCTCTAGGTGAGAGAATATCTCTGGATCCCACCAATATGATTGACAGAACCAAGAAATATCTTCAATAAAGGATTTTCATCTAACATTATTTATATTTTATACCATACATTTCACGAGCGAATCATGTGCACTTCATTCTCGTAAAATCAAATAGAGTATTTTAATTTGCAAACAAAGTAAAGGGTAAAACATATAAATGATAATTAAAGAAACATAATGAAATTAAGAATTAAGGCTCTAATAGGATAACTTACAATTAAGTGGTATCGTTTGTGGAATGAGAGTCACAGGGTGCTAACCCTTCTTTGGGCTTAAGTGTGCTCTCAGACCTAATCCTTAAAATAGTAGGTCAATTGAACGTTCTTTCGACAGACTTAAAATTAATTTAAGACTTCATCAATTAGAACTAAGTCAATAGATAGCTAATCGCACTTAGAAAAAATATTGGTGGCGACTCCTTGTTTTCTCCACGTCCAGCGGTTGGGTTCTTGGACCCATACGTTATGACACTATTATTGTGAGATGTCTTCTTTGATGCTTTAAACTGGCTTCTGGGTTAAGAATCAATTTTAGTAAATCTTGTGTTTACCCAGTTGGTTGTGACACATCTATTGTGCAAGTGATTGCTTTAGTTCTACGATGAAACATGGGAAACCACCTTTCATTTACCTTGGTATTCCTCTAGGTGGCAACCCTATGAGCATTAGCACATAAGAGCCAATGATCATCAAATTTAAACAGCGCCTAGCCCTATGGCCAAGAAATTACCTATCATTTGGAGGGAGGTTAGCACTTATTTACTCAATCCTTAATTCTTTACCTCTTTATTACCTCTTTGTTTTTCGGGCACCAAAAAGTGTTATCAAGAAGCTTGAACAGCTTAGACGAAACTTCTTATAGGGAGGTGGCACTGATTTTCGCAAACTAGCTAAGGTTAAGTGGGACACGGTGTGCAAACTTAAGAGGTATGGAGGATTAGGTGTCTCTTCACTTTGTCACAAGAATTTGGCTCTCTTAGGTAAGTGAAGAAAATGCTCTTTAGAGCAAATTAATCTTAGAAAAGTATGGCCCAGGCTCAACTTCATGGTTGCCTTCCACATCTAGCCCTTGTAAAATGTCCATGATATGGCACCACATAGCCTAACTCCCTTCTTGCAGTGGCTTACAAAACTTGGTTGGCTATGATGCATGCAGATGGTCTATTGATAATGATGCCACTGTATATTTTTGGATGGACAAGATTTGCCAAGAAAGTTAGCCAAATACAAAAATGTGAAACTCAGATTTGGTCGAACTCCGGTTCTGAAAAATACATATACTTGAGTTATTTGTCACATTGCATCTGGAATCATTTTCTCCAAACCAAAGATACACCAGATGATTCGTGGAATATTTGACTCTGTATGTTGTAAATCTATTTTATTTGCTAAGCACACACACGAGATTAAAAAGGAAATTACATATCAGCTGGTCTGAGAGACAGGAGACTCGAAACCACTGAGACTCCGGTTTCCCATCCTGGGCCGCCTTCTCACCAGAGTCATCGAACAATGCTGATAATCTTGATGCCAAGCTTTTCCTTGATACAGGAGAAACACCATCCTTGCCAATGATAGTCTCCAGCACTGCATTTGCAAGTAGTTTATTCTCTATCACTGCTATGCCAACTTGTGGCACAGAACTATCTTTGGAAAAGCTGATCTGTTGTTTCAGACAATGGAATATGACAAAAGTTATGATATATCTTATGGCAATTCACATATTTTCAATCAAAATTCAATCACCCTTTTTTAATTAGTCAAAACCAAATGAGTGTAATAATCTTTTGAAATGGTTTTGCATCTTACCGTTAATGAACCATGGGCTGATAGTGTGAAAAGAGTGGAGGAGTCAAGAGTTTTCATCCTTGAAGAACTCAAGGAATTTTTCAATGGCTTTTGCTTCCGCATCAGTGTAAAGTTCAAGAGATTTCCAAATGGCAACACAATTTTCTGCCACTTTTTCAGAGTATTGCTGACTCGTTAATGTCAGGACCTTTGTCACCCGTATGAACTTCTCAAAGGCACCTAGGAACGTTAACGAATATGTCAAGGGTTTTTTTGGAAAGGTGATTTTATTAACGTCATCACCAACATGCCATTTCAAGTCTTGAGCTTAGCATGCAAAAGACTTTCATGGCATAAACGGTTAGTGAGGGTAGTGAAGCCTGTACATTTACAAAAGAAATTTGCTACTCACCCAAAAAAGTAATATCACTTGATCAAGGATCAACCAACCTAAACCAAACTCCAAGGCCGAAGCACTGACGGCCCTTGACTAATTGCACAAAATTATCTAGTATATACATAGGACAGGCGAAGCAGAATACCAACATCAGTCGTGATGCAAAAAAGAGCACGCTAGAACTCTCGTAGACTCGAGGAACAGCCTCCGCCAATTAGCCGGCATGCCCTTCACACTTGGGCTACAAGCTGACAGGAAAGCAGCCCCTGCATCGAACACAACCAGCAAAGAAGACACAGGACGAGCACAAACCAACAGCATCGAACCATCATGCATGGCGAAGGAGAGTCGAAAATTTGCAGCCCGCACTTGAGCAGAGGAAAGGTCAAGAGAAGAGAAGTCTCCGAGAAGGAGGGAGGCCCCAAAAGCACTCTGCAGAAAACGCAAGCCACCTCACAAGAGAAAGCCAACACTCTCCACCATCCGAAGAGTCAAAAGAGGAGCAGCTCCTCAAATTGAGAAGCTCAAATCAGAAGAAGAAACCTCATGATAGGAGAAACACCTGGTGCAACCAAAATCAGAAATCTCGACCAACTACGGACAGCATGGGCAGCATGGAAACACCGTTAAATCAAACATGTGAAAGGAGAGAACAGAAGGGACAAATCTTTGACCACCAAAGAGCGAAGGCAAGCCAAAGCAAATCAAACAGGGTCGAAAAACCCAAAGCAACAAGGAAAGGAAAACTAAAGAGAAAACGAACAAAACCTGAAACAGAGGGAAATCTCAATCAACAACAAAATGCATCCAGCGAATCCAGGAAGAATAGATTCACTCACAAGGGAACCATCAGCAGAGGGACAAAAGGAACCATCCAAGGGAGCCGATGGTTAAAGATGAGAAGTGAGCCTTTGAATCAGAAAAGCCACTTGACATTTCATTTTTTGCACCCTTTTTTCTTTTCTTCTTCTTCTTCTTCTTTTTTAATTTTATTGTTTGTAAATTTTGCCTTTTTTCCTGTTATGTCAAGGTTAATTTGATTATAAATAATAAATAATCAATTGTACCATCACATAAACTATTATAAAATTATATAAATTCAACATAACTTGCATTTAATAACTTAAAAAATTCTTAAATTATTTAAAAAAGTTTAAATAAATTACTATTTGTTATTACCTTCAATTAAGTTTTTATAATTTAAATAAATTATTTTTCTATCATTAATTTTTTATGCAAAAAATCATTAAATTGATTTAATCAAAACAACTTACTCTCTATGTAGAAATAAGACGGAATAATAGGAGTGAAACGAAAATTTTAGTCAAAATTATGATTTAGAATTTAATTTTGACTAGGCTCCATAATATAATCGCATTTGTTCCATAAATGAGTGTTTCGTGCATTGCATGGGATAAAAATTAGAGAATATAAAGTCAAGGGCAGTAGTCAATTAATTTAAAGGAAAATTGAAAAGAAAGTGATGATTGCCTTCCTAGAAAAGTATAGGTCATTAAGACGATGAAAGTATTCATTACATCATAATTATTGAATTACATAAAATTTAATTCTGATTAATATATATATATATATATATATATATATATGTTACTTCAGCCTTTTCCTTTCTGGCGATTCCCCCAAAGGGAAACAAAAACACTGTTGGAGTGCTAAAATTTTCGCCATACATAAACCCTAAATCATTTGCTTCATTTGCACGTATTTTATGCGTTGAGTTGAATCAGAGACTTAGAAGAAAACATAAGTCTTTGCATAGCAAACCTCTTAGATCGTAATCAAGAATGCAGCGAAATTTGATCGAAAGGGAACGAAGGTCGAACTTGAAGAATCTATACTCGAAGCTCTTTTCTCTCCTTCCTCCTCAACCCGCAAAGGTTGTTTATGCACTCGATCATCTCTCTGTTTATCCTTTTGTTATCTCTTTTTCTCTCGGTTTTAACTTATTCGTGTATCTCAACATTATTGATTTTTTTTTCTCGGTTTTGCTTCAATTGTAAATGCATGGATTGTCTCCTAGATGTCACTCGTTGACAACTTGGAGCTGGCCACTGTACATATAAAACAGTTGCAAAGACAAGTAGAGGGACTCAAGCAAAGGAAGATGCAACTAGATGATAAGGAAGGTGAAGCATGGAATAGAGTTAAGAGCGAAGGGATAACCCCAGTTCTAAACATAATAGATTCAGATTCTATTATGGAAGTAAATTTGGTTACAGGGTCGGATATGAAATTTACATTGGGTGAAATTGTTAGCATCATTGAGGAAGAAGGAGCTGAAGTTATAGGTGCTACATATAGTCATGCAGGGAAAGTGAATAGGAACATTCTTTCAGTTCACTGTGAGGTAATATTTATTATATATACTTGAGAAATTATTGATGCGATTTACCCATTTACTTAATTTTAAGCAAATATGAGTTTACTTTTCATTGATTTTATGCAGGAAATTGGTTATAAGAGTTCCAAAGGGCTAGAAAGATTGAAGAGTCTGATTGGGGATTGCATGTAATCCGTTGGACATTTTCTACTAAGAAAAAAAAATCTCGAGTTTTATACGTACCAGTGTGGTTTACTTAGGTCCAACTGTTGCATCTGGTTATATGAAGCAAAGGGAAAACCCCTCCAGACTATTGGATCCAATTCCCAGTGTGTGTGGTTACATTTTAGTTTTATGGTTTGCTAGAAATGAGACTACTTTCATCTGGAATAATTAGGACGGAAAGAAAATTCTCTTTCCGATTTCTTTGTATCAGTGTAAGGTGAGTGAAGGTAATGGTGTTATTTGTGATGTCAGGTGTGATATTTTTCACGAATCCGAAACTTTAATTAATTTTAAATACAATAACAACAATTATGGTTTTTTTTTTTTGTCTTTTGCTAAAGGCTGTTAACGGCTTAAAGCAACAGGTCTGTGCATTGGCGAACATATATGCGCAATTTCAGTAGGAAACCTGCAGTCAAAAAGGTCCTTATGCAGCTTGTTTCCCTATATTGAGCTGAATAAAAGAAAAAGAACAAGCTTTCTACCCTTTTTCCCTAAACTGGTATGCGTGAATTTCTTTCAACACACAAACATAAGCAGCCACAGTTGACTACTTACAATAACAAAATTCAAGCCAATCAAGACGTAATCCTAAGAGGCCAAATATTCGCATCAAACGACTTACGTAAAAACGGATAGAAGGGTCAGATACCTCTCTGCACCGCCTGCCACCCTCCGATTAGCCCCCGTCCGTTCCACTTTTCCTTTACCACCACCATGACTTGCTGTTCTGAACCAAGAAACTTCAGCAATGAGTTTTTATTTTATATAAAATTCAAGGATTTATATACCACAAGAAAATTATAAATTAAGATAAAGGACTTCACAAAGCAATTCAACTGTCTTGCCTTTAGAAGGAATTTAAACGGCTTCTGATGAGTTGTTCCTAATGGGTGATGGTGATGCAAGGACTGTTGAGAAAACGTGCAAATCTGCAAGAAGCAGATTACTGTTCCTTGACGAGTTGCGACAGTTGTTTGTGTGTAGTTTTCCGTGTTTCAAGGATCGAACTGTCCGTCAATGGTAAAGACCAAGGAAACCCAGTTTGGAATGGTACAAGGACCCGACCCCCAGGAAAAAAACAAAAAAGTTGACAATGATATGTATAATAATTGATTCCATGGCATCTTTTAATGATAAAATCGTGCCACTGAAGAATTGCTTATAAAGAAAAATGGGTTTTATTTTATAAGTGTCCTAACATATAACTTAATTAAGTGATAAATAATTCTTAATGTTTAGAATAAAGATATTGCAATTTTTTTTTGTGTGTGCATCTTTATTTAATCCAAAAAACCACTCAATTTCATTTTGTTTTGAAGCGCTTTTTTTTTTTTTGGAAAAGCTTGTAAGAAATTATTATAAAAAATCTCATCTATTTTGTCATTTGAAGTCTCCTGCAGAAGAGGCAAAAGACTTCTGAAGGCAATAAACCATGCGAAAGGGGTAGTTTGCTGTACAATTGAGTATATGTAATAATGAAATGGTTTCAGTATGGGCAGAAAACTCAAGCTTAACAACCCAAGTATCCCCACCATCCATGGATGGGTTGCAAATCAAAGCAAAAAAAGAAGAAGAAAACCCTTAATAACCCAAGTTTGACTTAAACGGTTGTTATCTTCTTTTAAAGAAGATTGGATTCCCATTTGTACTTTCATATATTGTATAGTTTATGCAAATACATTAAATGTGAAAATGCTTTTCTAAACATGACTTTAATTCCCTAATCCTAATAAATAGTCATAGCTATTTAGCTTCAACAAAAGCGGTTGCTTTGGCCCTCACATTGACCTTTATGCAGGAAAACAAACACCCCATGCTTTCTTTGCCCCCATTTTAGAATTATTGGCAGATATTTTAGTGTCTGTGTCAAGCTGTTAGGATGAAGATAAAGGGCCTCTCTCCATACATTTGTCCATGAAGGAGAATCTTGAAAAACTGTTTCCACAAACAAGAGTTCAACATTTCCATTCTCACCGGAGAACTGATTATTTTGGAAATCTCGCAGGCACTTTAATTTTCCATTGCGGCGCAGCACTTAACGGAACTCATTGGTTTCTCTTGGACGTATGTTTGAATTTGTCACCTCTTAATCTTAAAACAAAGATATTTTACATGCTTAATTTTTGCTAATTATTATTTATGGAAGCATTGTGCTACAAAATAAGAATAAGCATGAAATAGCTATTTTATATGTTGTGTTACAAAATAGCAACAAGTATGGAACATCTATTTCATATGTTGTGCTACAGAATAGGAAAAAGCATGAAATAGCTATTT